CAGAGAGAATTTGTTGAAATATCAATTAGACTCATCTTCCCTGATCATGTACTCAATTCTCATGACCACTCTGTTTTCATACTACAAGGAGAAATTTAATGCTAATCACTCTTGGGGCTTAAAGGGTTGAAGGAGAAGGGAGCAATTTTTAGAATGGAAGTTTTGTTTGTCATCACCTGACAATGTATCGTCTTTTCATGTTTTTTCACAGTATGAGTTCAACGACTCAGATCGAGAATCTGCACTCGACAATTTAAAGATGTTTCTTGCAGAAGGTCAGATTCCCTGGGACGCGCTTACCTTTATCACAGGAGAGGTAATAAACACTTTATTCGTTTAACAATTTTTTCATATATCTGTTTGTTGGTTTGTTTATTTATTTGTTTTTTAGACCTCGTTTACACGGGTTTTAACAAACTTTTGAGCGACCCGCGGTACCATACAAGTTTTTGAACGGCAAACAGCACGGCAATCTGTAACAGAACTTGTACGGTGCCGTGTTAAACGGGTTGCGCGGGTAAAAAATACGTCCTTTCAAAAGTTTGTCCGCACTCGTGTAAACGGGTCTTATTCATTTATTGAAGAACAATATTGATTTTAGAACCCGGGCAGCCAACAAAAAAGCATGCTGTTGATTTTCAAGAAAATTGATATTTGATATCTTTTATTTACTTGCCAATTCCTCGCTTTTGTTCCCAGATCACGTATGGAGGACGAGTCACCGATGCTTGGGATCAGCGTTGTTTAACCACAATTCTCGGCAGGTTTTTCTCGCCTACTATTCTGGAAGATGACTACAAGTTTTCAAACTCAGGTGAAGAATAAATACATTCAAACAAAACATGTTCATCGCCTTCTAATTTGAAAAATCAGCGTGAGGTTCGTATTGAGTTATTAGGGAGCTGAAGCAACCACGACGAAGACGAAAACGACGTTGTCAAAAAAGAATTGGTTTTACGAGCAAAACAACAGCTCTGCACGTGCATCACGCTTTTCAGTAGATTTCTTTGACGCCCACCGCACGACTATGATGTGAAATCCGCTAATGCGACGTTTTATGGAGGACGTAAACATACAACGACGAATTTTCCTTTCTCTTTTTGAACCTACTCCTTAAGAATACACCTCCAGGAAAAATCGCCTAAATTGAGCTGGTCCAAATAGACGCGATAATGTTTGAAAGGAAGTCAATTCACTTTTTAGCGACTTCTTCATTGCCGTCGTCGTCGCCTCTTTTTTTAGGCTCTCTATTATCTGCACCAATGGCTTTATATTAATTGAAAACTCTTCACCTTTCCCATTTCCTCACCACAGGAAAGTCACACTTTAGGATTTCATGCACAGACTAAAAAGGTGGAACCACCTTGTACAGCATAGTAATCAGTATCACAGGAAAGTACTGCTCAGTAGCTTTCTTCTGAATGGTCACACTAAAGATTTTCACCCACAGACTCGAAAGTTAGAACCCCCTTGTACAGAATAATAAACAGAACCACAGGAAAGTACTGCTCAGTAACTTTTATTTGAAAAGTCACTCCTTGAAGTTAGAACCACCTTGTACAGCATAATAAACAGTACCACAGGAAAGTACTGCTAAGTAGCTTTCATTTGAATAGCCACACTTCAGGAATTTACCCACAGGCTTAAAATTTAGAGAAGCATCCTGTAAGTCATTTGGTCAACTTTGACGTTAATAGGTCATGTATGTTATCTTCAGGTATCTACTTTCCTCCTGGATTTGACTCGCTACCGGAATACAGAGATTACATTGACAGTCTGCCGATTGCTGACGAGCCGGAGATATTTGGAATGCATAATAACGCTAATATCGCCTTCCAGGTAAGAACAACAGTACACTAACATGTCTTAAAGATGTGAATATTTAACCACCTATACACTCTCTCTTTCTCTCTTTTTTCGCTTTCTCTACGTCGTGTAATTCCTCCGGGGAACAGGCTTAGTAAAGTGAAACGTGGTAGGAGTAGTTCGTATTCTTAAAAAGAGTATGAGGGATTTTGGTTTCATCCTATATACGGTTTACGCGAGAAATAGTGCAGTGCTAAAATATCATTTTGCGATACCTAACTGTTTTGCTCTTCCCATTTGATAGAACTGGCCGGCCAGACCGGTCCAATTGTAGAGAGAATTCCAATATTAATCACGACTAACCAGTCAGATCAGTCTACCCATAAATGGTTGGCCGGCAGTGGTGAGTTTCAGTGAGAATTTCAAGAAAAAACTAATGTTTTATTTTCAAAATGAATCGTCCAGCCGGCCAGTTCTGACTGTTGAATAGTGCTTCTTAGTGAACGTGCTAAACGTTTTTTGATAATTCTTATTCCCTCAACGCGTTGGGATACTCTGCTTTGTTGATTTTGTGATGAACATATTTTCTTTATCTACAGACTCAAGAGACCAATGCTCTGATCACAGCAGTGTTGGAGGTACAGCCTCGATTAGCCAGTGGAGGAAGCGGTAAAACCAGCGATGAGATTGTGTATGAGCTTGCAGAAAGTATACTCTCCAAACTGCCTGTCGCACTGGACATGGAGAAAGCCGATAAAGCTATATTTGAGGTAGGACTAAGTGTCTTAGGTTATCTTGAAGCCGCGGCCTTTATAGCCTTCGTAGCTAGCGTTTGCGCCCGAGTTAATGTGCTAAAGCAGGAACGAGAGCAAAAAAAATAAAAGTAGGGTAGGGAAGTGGGGAGAAAGAAATATCTCGGGGTGTATATTAAACGTGCCACAAGTCCACTGCGTGAGCGCCCTAAGGCGCGAGGGACGCTCGCGAATCGATCTTAAACCAGCAATGAAGTCGCGACTGACCAACTAACTTACAGAAAGCGGAAACGGGCTTTGAGAAAATCTAGGCGTCTACCTGGATTTGCCTCCCTTTCCTCCTACGTCCTACTGTTTTTTTGCTCTTGCTCCAAGTTTTCGCGCAATAACTCGAGCGGAACCGCTTGATACGCAGGTTACGGTCTTTTCAACCATGAGCAAGGAAGGTCCTTTGTCGTTACCTGAAAGTCCGCTTTAGAACGAGTGACCTCCAACTTTCGTCTGAGAAGGAGGTTACAGATAATATTAGCATCTCTGTTTTAACAGATTTTGATGGGTACTCGTGATATAACAGGTGGCAACTCTATGATACTCTCCTCTCGGCTAATATTATCGAGTTGCTGCATGTCAGGAAAAAGGTAGACAAAACGGGTTTCTCCGTCTCCAAATAAATTTTACTCGGCTACGTAGAAAATCGATTTTTTTAATGCGGAATGACGAAAGAATTTTCAATGGATTGATTTTATGAAGTCTTGGAAACCTTTTTTGCTCAATGTTTTTCGCTTTGTTTCCTTTAATATGAGGGTCGAGTCATCATTTTACATGGCTGATTTAGCGACAGGACTGGAACGTCAGTCGACGACGGGAAAGCGCGCGGAAAGGACTAAACACAACTTCCGGTGCTCAATTTCCCGCTCTGCCATTGGTCAAGCCAGTTGTTTGATTTCACGCGCCGTCGTCAACTGACGTTAACGTTCTTTTGCTAAATCAGCCTGTTTACATTGCGCAGCGGTTCTCACCGGTCGTGTTTCTTATTTTCATTGTTCTCTCAGACTGATGCTAAAGGGCGTGTGAACTCGCTGACTACTGTACTAGGACAAGAGGTTGATCGATTTAACTCTCTCTTGAAAGTCATCAAGGTAAGATAATGGCAGGAACAGAGAAATGTAACATAGAAAAACAAAGAAAAACCAAGAAGGTCGTCCACATCAGACGCCAGCGTCCAACCCTAAATAGAGATCGGAGTTATGAACTTCCCGCCATTTTTGATCAATTTTTGTCACGTAACTAATTCACGGAACAATTCAAGATATTTTTATTCGACAAAAATGAACCTGCGAGGCTATCCATTTTTGCCCAAACTTTCGCGATAACCGGCAAAAATAGGCCATTTCTGAGTTGCAAGAACTCTCACTTTAAAAAAAAAGGCTTAGTGCAAAACCTTTCCTGCGAAAATGACTTTTATTCTCGTAAAAATAAATAAACGTTTTGTTATCAATGGCTGACCACTTATTGCCTCACTTTGACAGAGAGCCTTAAGACAACTAGGAAATAAGCGATTGTCGATATCAGTTTTGTTACTTGTGGTAAATAACCGCTGTATCTACTTTTTCAGACGTCGTTACAACAGCTTCAGAAAGCCATCAAGGGTCTGGTCGTGATGTCACTGGAACTGGATAAAGTTTACACCAATTTTTTGAACAATCAGGTTGGTCTGTTTCCCTAAAAGCTTTTCTGGTCCCAAATCTCCTTGACGACGGTACAGTTTCTATCTTATTTTATCGATCGCGGACTTAGGGTAATTTTACGGTGGTTTTCTCCATATCAACGAGACATTTTTCCTCTTTTCGCAGGTTCCAACAATGTGGGCAAATGCGGCGTATCCATCATTGAAGCCGCTGGGATCCTGGGTTAAGGATTTGCTGCTCAGATGCCTGTTTATAGATGTAAGTCAAATATTATGGAGCTTTAGACTTCAGTGGGGCATTGTTGTTTTTCGTCCTGCAACACGTCATCAGGTCAGCACGCAACACCAATTCAGATATCGCGCGGCTCCCTTCACATTATATCCTAATAGACCACGTCATACTCTTCTCATATCATCTTTTTACATTCACGGAACACCTCAAGAGGTGAAAAAAAATGCGTGACCAGCGAATAACATTATTGGGTCGATCCCTCGTGATTACTTTTTAACATTCCACTGATGAGGGTATGTAATTGATGCACCCTCTCCAGTCCTGTAACATTTGTCTTTTGTCTTTGCGTGACAGTTCTTGGCGTGACGTGGCGTAAGCTTGTGTTCGGTATTTGCTTTTTCCATGCCATCATCCAGGAGAGGAAGAAGTTTGGTCCTCTTGGCTGGAATATTAAGGTAAGAGTTGAGCGAATGAACAACCTTGGACCTCTTCACTACTTTGGAACAAGGTCCTTATGGGTGAAGAAATCCCCTTATGGAGTTGGGAGATGCACTCATACACCTAAAAAGAGAGATCTTATTAACAGTTCTTTCACGTGATAAGGGGAGTTTCCTGTATAGAATTGACAGAGGGAATCGTTAGAGAAAGATCTCAGTGTAGAATTATAGGCGATTATGTCCTTTGTTTCCCCATGTTAAGGAAAAGAGGGAAGATCTCCGTAGCGGCACACAACCGACGGAAATAACCGTTCGTTAACCCTTTCAACCCTAATATCAAAATTGAGATTCTCATTTCCTATCCCTATACTTTAATAGAAGCAGAGAGAATTTGTTGAAATATCAATTAGACTCATCTTCCCTGATCATGTACTCAATTCTCATGACCACTCTGTTTTCATACTACAAGGAGAAATTTAATGCTAATCACTCTTGGGGCTTAAAGGGTTGAAGGAGAAGGGAGCAATTTTTAGAATGGAAGTTTTGTTTGTCATCACCTGACAATGTATCGTCTTTTCATGTTTTTTCACAGTATGAGTTCAACGACTCAGATCGAGAATCTGCACTCGACAATTTAAAGATGTTTCTTGCAGAAGGTCAGATTCCCTGGGACGCGCTTACCTTTATCACAGGAGAGGTAATAAACACTTTATTCGTTTAACAATTTTTTCATATATCTGTTTGTTGGTTTGTTTATTTATTTGTTTTTTAGACCTCGTTTACACGGGTTTTAACAAACTTTTGAGCGACCCGCGGTACCATGCAAGTTTTTGAACGGCAAACGGCACGGCAATCTGTAACAGAACTTTTACGGTGCCGTGTTAAACGGGTTGCTCAGGTAAAAAATACGTCCTTTCAAAATTTTGTCCCCACTCGTTTAAACGGGTCTTAGTCAATATTGATTTTAGAACCCGGGCAGCCAACAAAAAAGCATGCTGTTTATTTTCAAGAAACCTGATATCTGATATCTTTTTATTTACTTGCCAATTCCTCGCTTTTGTTCCCAGATCACGTATGGAGGACGGGTCACCGATGCTTGGGATCAGCGTTGCTTAACCACAATTCTCGGCAGGTTTTTCTCGCCTACAATTCTGGAAGATGACTACAAGTTTTCAAACTCAGGTGAAGAATAAATACATACAAACAAAACGTTCATCGCCTTCTAATTTGAAAAATCAGCATGAGGTTCGTATTGCGTTATTAAGGAGCTGAAGCAACTACGACGAGGACGAAAACGACAACGTCAAAAAAGAATTGGTTTCGCGAGCAGAACAACAGCTCTGCACGTGCATCGCGCAATGGTTTAGGCAAACAGAGCATATTATGTCCTCTTAAAAAACATCACCACAGTAAAGTATTGCTCAGTAGTTTTCATTTGAATAGTCACGCTTGAGGATTTTACCCACAGGTTCAAAAGTTAGAGAAGCATCCTTTAAGTCTGTTGGTCAGCTTTGACGTTAATAGGTCATGTATGTTATCTTCAGGTATCTACTTTCCTCCTGGATTTGACTCGCTACCGGAATACAGAGATTACATTGATAGTCTGCCGATTGCTGACGAGCCAGAGATATTTGGAATGCACAATAACGCTAATATCGCCTTCCAGGTAAGACCACAGTACACTTACATGTCTTAAAGATGTGAATATTTAACCACCTTCACACTCTCTCTTTCTCTCTTTTTTCGCTTTCTCTACGTCGTGTAATTCCTCCGGGAACAGAAAGGTAAACGTGGTAGGTGTAGTTTGTATTCCTAAAAAGAGTATGAGGAAGTTTGGTTTCATCCTATATACGGTTTACGGGAAAAATAGTGCAGTGCTAAAATAGCATTTTGCGAGACCTAACTGTTTTGCTCTTCCCATTTGATAGAACTGGCCGGCCAGACCGGTCCAATTGTAGAGAGAATTCCAATATTAATCACTACTAACCAGTCAGATCAGTGTACCCATAAATGGTTGGCCGGCAGTTGTGAGTTTCATTGAGAATTTCAAGAAAAAACTAATGTTTTATTTTCAAAATGAATCGTCCAGCCGGCCAGTTCTGACTGTTGAATAGTGCTTCTTAGTGAACGTGCTAAACGTTTTTTGATAATTCTTATTCCCTCAACGCGTTGGGATACTCTGCTTTGTTGATTTTGTGATGAACATATTTTCTTTATCTACAGACTCAAGAGACCAATGCTCTGATCACAGCAGTGTTGGAGGTACAGCCTCGATTAGCCAGTGGAGGAAGCGGTAAAACCAGCGATGAGATTGTGTATGAGCTTGCAGAAAGTATACTCTCCAAACTGCCTGTCGCACTGGACATGGAGAAAGCCGATAAAGCTATTTTTGAGGTAGGACTAAACAGAAAACTCTGAGTTTATCTTGAAGCCGCGGCCTTTGTAGCCTGCGTGGCTCGCGTTTGCGCCCGATTTAATATGTGAAAGCTGGAACGAGAGCAAAAAAAATAAAAGAAAGGGGTGGGTAGTGGGGAGAAAAAAATATCACGGGGCGTATACTAAACTTGCCACAAGACCACTGTGTGAGCGCCTAAGGCGCGAGGGACGCTCGCGAATCGATTTAAAACCAGCAATGAAGTTGCGACTGACCAACTAACCAGCCGAAAGCGGAAACGGGCTTTGAGAAAGTCTAGGCGTCTACCAGGATTTGCCTCCCTTTCCTCCTACCTCCTACTTTTTTTTGCTCTTGCTCCAAGTTTTCGGGCAATAACTCGAGCGGAAACACTTGATACGCAGGTTACGGTCTTTTCAACTATGAGCAAGGAAGGTCCTTTGTCGTTACCTGAAAGTCCGCTTTAGAACGAGTGACCTCCAACTTGAGAAGATAATATACAGATAATATTAGCGTCTCTGTTTTAACAGATTTCGTATGGTACTCGTGACATAACAGGTGGCAACTCTATGATACTCACCTCTTGGCTAATATTATCGAGTTGCTGCATGTCCGAGAAAAAGGTAGACAAAACGGGTTTCTCCGTCTCCAAATAAATTTTATTCGGATACGTAGAAAATCGATTTTTTAATGCGGAATGACGAAAGAATTTTCCCTGGATTGATTTTATGAAGTCTTGGAAACCTTTTTTGGCTCAATGTTTTTCTCTTTGTTTCCTTTAATATGAGGGTGGAGTCATCATTTTACCAGGCTGATTTAGCGACAGGACGGGAACGTCAGTCGACGACGGGAAAGCGCGGGGAAAGGACTAAACACGACTTCCGGTGCTCAATTTCCCGCTCTGTCATTGGTCAAGCCAGTTGTTTGATTTCGCGCGCTGTCGTCATCTGACGTGAACGTTCTGTTTCTTCATCGGCCGTTTACATTGCGCAGTGGTTCTGTATTGGCCGTGTTTCTTATTTTCATTGTGTTCTCAGACTGATGCCAAAGGGCGTGTGAACTCGCTGACTACTGTACTGGGACAAGAGGTTGATCGATTTAACTCTCTCTTGAAAGTCATCAAGGTAAGATAATGGCAGGAACAGAGCAATGTAACATAGAAAAACAAAGAAAAACCAAGAAGGTCGTCCACATCAGACGCCAGCGTCCAACCCTAAATAGAGATCGGAGTTATGAACTTCCCGCCATTTTTAATCAATTGTTGTCACGTGACCAATTCACAGAACAATTCAAGAGATTTTTATTCGACAAAAATGAACCTGCGAGGCTCTCTATTTTTGCCCAAATATTCCCGATAACCGGCAAAAGTAGCCCGTTTCCGAGTTCCAAGAACTCTCACTTTAAAAAAAGGCCTAATGCAAAACCTTTCCTGCGAAAATGACTTTTATTTGCGTAAAAATAAACAAACGTTTTGTTATCAATGGCTGACCACTTATTGCCTCACTTTGACACAGAGCCTTAGGACAACTAGGAAATAAGCGAAAATTGTCGATATCAGTTTTGTTACTTGTGGTAAATAACCGCTGTATCTACTTTTTCAGACGTCGTTACAACAGCTTCAGAAAGCTATCAAGGGTCTGGTCGTGATGTCACTGGAACTGGATAAAGTTTACACCAACTTTCTGAACAATCAGGTTGGTCTGTTTCCCTGAAAGCTTTTCTGGTCAAAAATCTCCTTGACGACGGTACATTTTCTATCTTATTTTATCGATCGCGGACTTAGGGTTATTTTACGGTGGTATTCTCAATATCAAGGAGACATTTTTTCTCTTTTCGCAGGTTCCAACAATGTGGGCAAATGCGGCGTATCCATCATTGAAGCCGCTGGGATCCTGGGTTAAGGATTTGCTGCTCAGATGCCTGTTTATAGATGTAAGTCAAATATTATGGAGCTTTAGCATCGACGACGGCGACGGCAGCGAAAACGTCATTTTTAAAATGAATTCGCGTTTTTTTAAACTTTGTCGCGTTTATTCCAATCGGCTGAAAATGTCTAATATGGGCGAATTTCCCTGGAGTTGATTTCTTGGAGACTGCACTCGAGTTTAGAAAGAGAAAGAACATTTCGTCGTCGCTTGTTTGCGTCCTCCATAAAACATGTATAATTAGGGATTTTCACGTCGTAGTCGTGCAGTGAC